CATATAGAACGGTAGATGTCTCATAAGAGAGACCATAAAGGTATTTTGGGCTGTAATTAATCTAATCTAACTATGACTAGAAGTCCAAACAGAAAACTAACAAAGAGTTTGAAGCATAAAGAAAATCCTAATGCTATTAACAGTGTTTGGAATTACTTAGTTGCTCTTTATAAACAAATTTAAGCATCTAATCCAACGTTAGCATTTGGTAACATAAAGCATGACTTATTAAGTTCCTAAAAGTGACTCTAAGTTAAAAAACAAGCACCTTATTCCTAACTTAATTATCCTTTTGATATTCTATTGAAATTAATAATATATACTTAAAATAATGTCATAAAATATTGTGATAAATGTATATAGTTTCATTTTTTAAAAATAAAAAACAGTAGGTTATTTTTTAAAATCACCATTTCACCCAAATGCATAATTAGTTTATCTTTTAAATGAGAATTTATCAATTTTAAGTAACTTAAAACATGTAAGTACTTAATAAACATTTCTTCCAGCAATCCGAAACAACCTCTAAAATTATAATAATAAACCCATAACTATAATAATATAATGAAAAAGGAAAATTATACCTAATCGATTCACAAAAATAACTCCAATCCTTTCTGCATCAAGAAGTTTATGCATAAACAACGCGTTAAATCTTCCAACAAAATGCACAAAGATATGTATACTAAAAATTTAAGCTGCACTGACAATGTTATTAAAAGCAGAATCACTAATTTCTGATTTCCTAGAACACTAGAACTGCAAAATGAAACAAAACCATAATTGGTGCCCAAATAAAACAGATCTAACAAAGAAAAAGCATCAACCAACAGGTGCATAACTTAGCACACTAACTATACCCAGAAGCCACAACCTATATTAAACATGCACAAAAAGAAAATGGTAACAGAAGTATTGGAACTGAAGGCAAATAGATAATCAATACCCTGAAAAGAGTTCTCCTGAGGCATGAACACATTTTACATAATCCGCATTCAACCAAAAACGACCCATTGCTGGAAGAGACTTCTCTCTGATGATACTGAAAAATTCTGAATTAACATTCAAAATGGCTCTTGTAGCCGCATAGTATGCCTTCCACCCATTAACTGGTGTCACGCTATCTTGCTCCAAGGTAAAATCCTAATAGGGAAGACGATAAGTTAAGAAAAGATTTTTTACAGTCCTCTAACAATCTCTACAAGAGATCAACAGATAAACAGTGCTTGCAACATGGGAAGGAACAATGGAAACTCTAAAGCAACTTTGAGACACAAGTTCCTAATGATGACTTACAAGAAAGTTAAATGGAAATAACAGAAGGATTTATTGCACATTGGTTTAAAATGGCACTTCCACCTCTCCCTAAAGCTGCATAAAGCACTAACACAGTGTTCAGGAGTTTGATGTAGTAGAACTTAAAGATAGAAATCTTTAGTCCACATTTGTTTCGTTGAAGGGGACAAAGTAAGGTACAAATTTACTAAATATGATAGAAGAATCCACCTCTACAAGAAACATTGTGATGAACTATAAAACAATAATAGATAATTAAAAGACTTCACTTAAAATATACTGAGTAGATTATGAAACCCTCATAATCTATCAGTTAAGAAAGGTTACATGGAGTTGAATGAACTCCTAAATTATTTTCTTTTTTATTCCCTTTAAAAAACTATCAAAAATGATTATTATCAGCACCTACCTTACTTTACTCTTGATTAGTCAAGAAATAAACTCTCAAACATCTACTGCTAAACAACCGGATATTTATACTAAGCAAAAATTGAAAATAGTAACGCAACCCTTAAAAAAATAAAAATAAAATAAAAAGAGAAAGGGAGTCCACTTGAGTCGTGGGGCTATCCCTGCAATAACTGGTGGAGGTGAGGGGGGGAGAGGGGATCCTGATATATGTCAAGAAATTACAGAATGGAAACTTGCATTGCCACACCAAACCCACAAATCACAATCCCTGCCGTCAGTAACTCAGCGATCTCAACAATTAGCATCTCTATGCAGATCCAAAAGCATTGGGTCATTCTTAAAGTTTTGAATGGCATCTTACTTTTCATTCCAAAATCAATGAATTCCTTGGGCAATCATTATCGAGATTCCCCAAAGTTAAACATAGAAAAAACTAGACAGAAAAATAGTTAAGGTATGTTTGGAACAAATAAATTATCTTTTTCGAATTCATTTGGAAAAATATTCTTAGTTTAACTAAGTTAGCATGAAAATTTATTTTTATGGAGTTTAAATGAATTATTTCAGTTCTGCCTAAAATTCATTGCAAGTTGAAATTTCGTTCACTTGAAGTAAAATTTTCTCCCTCTCATGCTAAACTAAACAAACATTTCCAAATTGAACTCCAAAGAAGTGATTAATTTGTTTTAACCATGTCTAAACCCAATGTTCACTCAGGACCCGGGATTACAAAATAAAATTTCCAGAGAATAAGAAACTGAAAGTCATCCTAAAGGGGAAAAACAAAGGACATCAAAATATTGCAGAAACGATTAAAATGAAAAGAAAAATCAAATCATTATTTCATTACCTTGTGATAAAGGGCTTTCCACGCATTATCATCATTAGCAGCCTTTCTCATCAAGGAATTGGTCATTGACAACCGGCACAAGCTCGGGTAATCCAAGTAGCTAAGAGCGTGAGTAGTAATCTCTGGAACCAACTGCTCCATCATCGAGGCTCCCGACTTCTCCGCTTCCGCCGCCGCACTTCTTGCTACCACCATCTCTGCCGCGTCCACAACGCCGTTAAGGTACCCCGGACCCTCTGCCTCAAAATCGAGAACCCCTCTGACGTTACTGTTGGGAGAATGGTGCAGCAAAGACGACGATGTTGGTTGTCTGACAGCCAGAGATGACGTGGCAGAATCAGAACCTTCGGGTTTGGAGGTCCTCTTGCGAGGGAGCGATCGGACGGTAAGGAGAGCAAGAAGGAGAGAGAGAACAGTGATGATCGTGGCTACAAAAAAAGGTTGGTGGGGAGAAGAGAGAGAGATGAGGTCAGAGGCAACAATCTCCATTCATACGACATGAAAGCTACGCAATGCATTAAAAACCCTAGGGGAATCTGGTTTAGTCGGGTCTATAATAAGGGATTATGTGTTCAGGATTTCCTTGTTTCTGTAAAGAAAAAAGAGAGAGAGAGAGAATAGAGCTTCTGTGTCTTGTAATTTCGAAAAACCCTAGAGCAATTGAGTAGAGTTGGAGAAAGAAGGGGGAAGGGAAGAGAAGGAACTCGTGAGTTGTAACTGACAAGGGAAGGAGTTTTGAATGGGCAAGTATCTGCAGAGCCCAGTGTACAAATAGTCGCAAATTTCCAGGTTAATTCTGTATTTGACAAATTTCCAATCCTACGTTCCTAATTGACACGACGTCGTTTATGAGGGAATTATCCTTTTTAACTTATTTGCTTTTATTGTTTTCTTAAGCACAAATTATCAAAATAAATTTAAAAATAATATACAAATTCTTTATTTTTTTGTAAAAAAATTGACTGAAAAGTATAGAAATACTTCTTAAAATAATAAATTTTTTCTCTAAATTTATTATAATAGAAATTAAATTAAATTAAGTAAAGAAACAAAATTTATCTACCCTTTTTAATCAAATATGGAAATAAAGAAAGGAATTTTTTCTCGACTAATATAAATAAATTATTTTTATATTTTTATATATAATCTTAGAATATTTTGAAATAATTTTATTGTACTTATAGTAAGAAATAA